ACATGGTGGCACACGCCTGTAATCCCAGCACTTGGGAGGCTGAGAGGCAGGAGGACTGTTGAGAGTCAGAGACCAGCCTGAGCTACAAAGTGAGCTCAAGGCCAGCCTGAACTGGATAGCGAGACATTTGTCTCAAAAAGACAAAAAAAAAAAAAAAAAAAGATTTCAAAGAAGTAAAGAAGGGAGAAAATGAACCCCTGACACACAAGATATTATCAGCAGTCTCTCTGTGAGGCAAAAATCAGTTTCAACAAAACAGTATCTTCCATTAGACTAATTCAATATATCAGTAAGTTTTCTACTAATTTTCAATATTGTTTACACTTAATTGGTAAGTGATTTGCTTTTACAATAGTATGAATGTTAAACACAACTACAATTTCACGGTTATATATGATCATATATAAATATTTAAATAATTAAATCTTTGTTACAGTCCATTAGCTTTTTTTCCTTTAAAAGCATCACAAATATATAGGTGTAAGAAACTCATTTTTGAGTGTGCAGGAGGGGCAGACAGGGACTGAACTGAAGGTTTCACACTGAGCTATATCCCCAGTCCTCTTGTTATTTTGAAACAGGATGTCACTAAATTGTCCAGGTTGGGCTGGAAATTGCTATCCTCCTGCCTCAGCCTCCCTGCGTGCTGGGACTAGAGGCATGGGCCACCGGTGCCCAGTTGAGAAAGTCTGTTTTGTTTATGAGGACATGTTTGCAGCACAGAACGTTCACATTCTTCTTATGACGCAGGTACATGCACTTAACATATCTGAATTTTTATTCCCTTTCCCTTCCTGCCTCCCTCCCTTCTTGTTCTCTATATTTCCTTTCTGCATTTTCATTTCAATTTTTTATTAGTTCATGTTTGTGACCCATAATGATTATATTCATGGTGCGCAGTTGGTAGATGTACACAACACATCTGAGAAGCTATCTTAAATGCAGACCAAAATTCTGGCTACCTCCAGCTTCAGGCAGTGAGAGGAAAATCATGATAAGGAGTGAAAGCCAAGCTGCTGCAGGGCAGGGTAGAGCAAAGAATGTTGATAATGCTCTTCCCACCCAGTCCCTCCTGTCTACCCGCCTACCAAATCCAAAGAGGCTTATATAAAGGTCACAGTATTTGCATATAACACCCTCCATTCTAAATCATCACTAGATTAATTACAATACCTAGTACAAAGGAAATGATATGTAAGAAGTGGCTATACAGTATCCCTGAGGGGAAAAGGACAAGGAAAGTCTTCAGGTGTAATCAACATTTTTTCTGAGTATTTTTAATAGTGCATAAGGTTGGTTGGTTCCACACATACAGAGGCTGCATGTTTTGAACTGACTGATTCTCATTTACACATAAAAAAATGTACATATTTAAGATGTACAAGATTACTTTTTGATTTATGCATATACGATAAATCATGCTAATATATACATAACCTCATTTATTTATCTTTTTATAATTAGAACACTTCAAATCTTTTAGAAATTTTCAATCCTATTCTTTTTTAGTTCTTTCCTTTTACTTGGAGGGAACTATATAGACCTTCAAGAATAAACCTTGTACTTAAGCATGATTTTTTAAACTCAAACGGATAAAGAAAAAGTAAAGGAAAAATGACAAGAAAGTACTTTTTAAATATTTCTTTGGGAATGATCCTTAAAAAGAGAAAGTTCATAAGCAAATGATTCCACAGTTCAAATGTTAAGGCTGATCCCTGATAAACAAATAATGTTCACAGAATAATATTTGCCAATAAGGGTGGAGAATTTGAGTCATACAGCATAAGCTAAGCTTGGCTTATGGGTCCTGAGAATATTTTTCAAGTTATCACCACTCACCAAATGTCATATTACTATAGAAATCTAAGTAGGGAGAAATATAGCCATGAGACAGGGCTGGACCCTCGAGGGAGTCAGGGCACAAGATGACAGCCCATCAGGCTGTGGCTGGAGGTGCATCTGAAGATCAAAGTCACAATGGCTAATTCTACATACTTCCCCACGGGGGGATGAACGGAGGTTTGGAATTATTGGTATCATCCTTGTGAGGTTTCCCATTGTCTCACTGGGCTGCGGGGGGCACCCTCTCTCACCTACTAAGTCTAGAATTACTAAGACTAAAGACAAGACAGAGACTAGAGATTATTGACCAAGGTTGAATGACGTCACGCATGTTCCTTTGCTACCATTACATCAATATGACCTAAGCGACTATACTTGCAATCTTATTGGTTGATCATAATTTTAACCCACATTGCACCCACCTCAGGGTTTTGCTCTATAAAACTCCCTTTGAGAGGTGGGCTCATTGGCCACCCACTGGGGACCCCTCCTGTCTCCCAGGAGCTATTCCTAGTCCCCATCCACCCATTCCTATTCCTTTTCTCCTACTCTTAACCTCTGTTGTTCCTTAGAATTCATTCTTCAACTTTGGGACACATACTCGGAGGGAGTATTTGACATCTAGCATGTCTTCTATATCAATATATCATGTAAGAAAATGAACAAAATAATCTCAGTGGTGAAGTTTTTGTACCTGTTTTCCTCATTTTACAGGAGAGCTTGTATTCAGATTAATTTACCTCCAGCCCTCACAGAGCACTTGGCTAGCACCAGAACTTAAACTCAAATTCAGGTTAATTCATTAATTAACCTTTGTCTCAGAGTAAATGCAAACACAAAATGTAATAACTCGTTTTTTTAAATGTTAAGTACCATTATTTAAAAATGAAATCCTTGATTTAATTTAAATCATCTAGATCAACTTATAAGACCCCTACCGAACAGTCAACTGAAGAGACATAAACTTAATCACAGGCTGAGGAGCACGTGTGGCTTCTATTGGGCCAGTCATGCACGTACTGATCAAGAGAAGGCATGCCAAAACTCTCATGGGAAAAAGTAATTGACAAGGATCGAAATAGCACAGGATGTCAGCTCCATGAGGTTATAGTAGGAATTCATCAATTATTAATCATCAGCTATTAATCATTATTATTAAACGGCAAGGTGCTTTAAAAAACCTTTGATGGATAACGGATACACCTAAGGAAATAGGTGCAGGAAGTTGGTCAGGGCAAGGGCCTCCTCCGCCACAGAGGGAAACAGGAGGGACAGAACCAGGAGAAAGAGGGCTTGCTTAGTGGACTTGGGAGAAAACCAAGTAGGACTCAAATTCTCAGACACACCCTGTGCTACAGTATGCACGTAGCATTCAGCAGCTGCAGTATGGGCTGCGAGCATCCGCCCCCAGGGACAGAGGCGTTCCGGTGGGGGAAAAAAGCAGTGCTGCACGTGACTTTAAGGGTTTCATTTCTCTAGAATCGTGCATTTGGCAGCTAATGCTGGAAAGTCTTTTAACAAGGAATAAAGCATTTTCTTTCCACGATGAAAAAAATAATAATCAAATGCTGTTACAGTAATACGATTTAAACACAAAGCTATGACTCCTTGGAAGCAAGTCGTACATTTAAGCGCCTAAAACCAAGTTCACGAAGCAAGGTCTGCATCCTCAAAGAGCTTACACTCTTCAGACGTCTTTCTTCACTTACTAAGGGAAGAACACACCTATTAGGGAGAATCACCCGAGTTTTTCAAGGCTGGGCTCAAGAATCACGAGAAAGTACGTCATATCACTAGTAAAATAATGCATATGTCAGACTTTCAACTTCTGAAACACCAAAGTTCATCTCATGCAGAGTGGAGAAAAATGTAGAACATCTGGCAGCTCCTACGAGTCAGGCTGGCATTTAGCACTCCAAGATAGGGAGATGGGGGCGGCATCACGCGCACCAAGGGGCAGAGTGTCTAGTCAGCCCTGAGACCTCAAGCAGGATTTTCAAACTACAAGAGTAGCGAGTTCGTATCTGTGCTCAGGCAGAGTGGTAAGTGTTGTACTGCAGGTAAACCTTATTATTCACAAAGTAAATACTATTATCATGGTAGCCTCGAATTCAGAAGTTAATACAGTATGGGCAGAAAAATTGTACTTTTGTCAAGTAACACCAGTGCCCTGTAAGTATTTTAGCATTTGGGGCGATTAAAACAAAAAAGGTTTTTGGAAACCATTAACCTCAAGACACCCTTCTAGATTCCACTCTTCCTGTAAGTACACGCTTCAAAATACAGATGAGACGCGAAGCTGTCTCACCTTCACATGCCCCACGCATCCACAGCGCGTTGCTGACCTCGCACTAGACCGATACAAAGACGCTGCCTATCTACAAGTCCCGGGACTTACTAGACCACCCAAAGGCCTGCGCACTGATCTCATCCACCCGGCCCGCGGAGCCTTGAGATTCCTGGGTTTCACTTCAGAAGCCAAAGCGCTAGGAAGTTTCCATTCAGATGCAAATCTGTCCTGGGAAAGGTAACAGGTTAGCTTATCAGTCAGTCATTCAATTCTCCGTGGGAGCTGAGTTTCCGGTACCGTACTCTCTTAAGCCTCAGGAAGAGAAATGAAAGTTCCAGAGGATGGAAGGAGGAAGGAAAATCTTCTCAGAACTCGAGAGACAACTCCGCAACGAAAACCCAGCGCTCGGACGCAGGGGTCTGCAGCCACCGTCACCGGTGTGTCACCGCTCCGGCCAAAGCCGCAGATGCGTTCTTAGAGTCCGCTGGCGACTGCCCAGGGGTTTTCATGCGTCTGTCATTGCATAAACTGATTTAAAGGTACCCTTAAACTCTTAATCCCATCCCCACCCCCTTTGAGGACTCCTTTTAAAGGGATCAAACTAGGCACAGGGAGAATTTACAACAGGCGGGAGGGGTCCCCAACACCTTCCCAGCGGCGTCACCCGAAAGGCGCCGGAAGGACTGTGCCCGGGTCTCCCGGGGTCAGCAGGCAGCGAGCGCTCCCCTCGCTGCGGACCCGGAGAGGAAGAACACCTACGAACGAACTTTGCGGCCACCAGCAGGGGAGCTCTTCAGCCCGCGTCCCCAGCCCATTCAAACAAAAGAAGCCCGGTCCGCGCGCCGCCCGCGCCCGCCCGCCCGCTTACTCCTGAGCGCGCCGATGAGCAGCGAGCCGTCCTTGATGAGCTCCTTGATGAACTTGTTGGTGCGCTCCAGCTCGACCTCGTGGCACTGCAGGCGCTCCCTGAAGTCGGGGCTGTCCAGGTACGAGTCGCTGAACTCCAGCGTGGGCAGCCCCATGGCCGCGGCGGCGGGCGCAGGCGGCACGGGCGGGG